ATTCTAGAATTTTGTTGATTTTCAACTAGATTCTTAAAATTTTTAAAGTTTTCAAAAACTTCATCCTTAGTCTTGAGGAAATACACAAAGGACATGCGTGTAAAATCATCTACAAGAATAAGGAAATACCTGGATCCTGCTATTGATTTGTTCTCCATAGGCCCGCAAACGTCTCCATGGATAACTTCTAAAGCATTTTCAGCTCTGGAGCCTCTATTTTTAAATGGTAGTCTTGCTTGTTTGCCCTCACAACAAGTAATACAATTTGATTTCTCAAATTTACAGGAGTCAGAACAAGCTATTCCTAGAACCGAACCATTTTTCATTTTTTGAAAATCATAGCTATTAATATGTCCTAGTCTACGGTGCCAAGTTTGGCTATTTACACTATTTACAGTCAAAAAACACAGTTCATCAAAAGTTTTGAGTTTATAAACGCCATTGAAAAGTTCAGCAATAGCTATTAAGTCATTGAATTTATTGAAAATTTTGCAAAAGTCATTTTCAAAACATACCTGGTTTCCGTTCTTGATCAGGGCACTTACGGATAAAAGATTTGTAGACAGCTGTGGACAGCACAAAACATCCTTTACCGTAATATCAAAGACATCATTACCAACAGCTGTTTTAATATGAACATCCCCCAAACCAACAATGGGAATCTTTGAATTGTTTGCCACCATGATACTCGAAGGAAAAACAGTTTTTCTTGAGGCACTAACTAAAAGAGATTCATCAACCACTAGATGAGAACTGGCACCAGAATCAATATACCAGTCTGATTTATTGAAATCGCCGCTTAAAAACACAACATTAAACGCGTTTTCCGACTTATTGTGCTGGTTTCTGCCATTATTTTCATTCAAAAACAAAGGACATTTATTGCGAAAATGACCCTTTTGTTTACATCGATAACAGGTTATGTCACTCTTCTTTTTTTGATCTTGGGCCGGATGCGTGTTGCCGCCAGCAACCCAACCATTGCCAACGTCACGACTGTTGCTACTAGTGCTGCCACCACGATTTATCGAATTGTTCGATCGATAGTTTTTGGTATAAAATGCACTACCGCCTTTCACATCATCGTGTTCCATGTCCAAAAGCTTTGATTTAATAGTGTCAGTGGTTATGGCTATCCCCGAATGCTCGATGGCCATAATCATTGGCATAAATTTATCCGGCAATCCTGCTAAAAGTAGGGAACCGACCCACTCGTCATCTATAGCAAAACCGGTGCCACGAAGTCTCTGACTTGTCTCTATTATCTGGTTCACATAAGCCGCCATAGAATAGAGTCACACGTATCCAATCGCGTTGAAATTAAATGTCGAAGTAAGCTTATTCGTCGCGAAAAGCCACAATCATCGAACATACTCTTTAATTTGTCCCAAAGCGATTTCGCGGTCCTGGCCTCTTTTATGTGCACGTATAGAGTAGGGTCTATTGTGAGAATAAGTTTGGCTTTCGTTTTTTGATCATCGGCAACTGATGCTGCTTCAGTAGCCACAGGTTCAGTCTCAATATATTTCGCAAGACATTCAAGAACCAGAAAATTTTGGGCCGCGAATGCCCAATCATCATAATTTTCGCGCCCTTTTAATTTAGGTACGTTTACCAAATAACCCGAAGCCATAATTATTCCACGCACTGCACAACGAAGAAAAAACACTTTTCTAAACAACCCGGACTCCACTAACTTTACAAAAACGTGATCTGGGACCCCATAACCTATTGTTATATAAAGTGGGGAACGGGACAGAAAAGAAAACACAACGCTCCGTTTAACTTGTGCAGCTGCAGACAGACTGACTTTTTTAATACAATGACAAGTACAACTGACTTACTGACATACATGACATGACAGAACTAAAAGAGTAGATATGTAGATAATCGATAAGTAGGGATGGGTAAGAATTTTGAACTCAAATATTAACATCGCTCAAATTTACCAAATTTTGTCAATTTTTTGACATTGACTTAATACCTACTAATTCTAATTTTTTATTGTTGTGTTGTGGTTATTTGTGTTCTTTAAAGATTAATTTCGCAATTTCAAAGTGTTTAAAAATTTTTATAAAAGGAAAAAGTTAGTATTATGTTTACCATAATCCGAGTCATAAGGCGGCGAAGGCAAAATGATGCAAGAAGACGAGAAAATCGTGCATTAATTCATATGAGAAGAGAAATCAGAGAAAGTTAAGATTCCTTTTTACATCCAGGGTCCTTATTCTTGAAACAGGAAGTAGCGTTCCCAGAAGAACGAGTGTTCCGTCTTTTTCAATGATATGCAAATGATAACGACATAAGTAGGTACAAAGACGGAGACGGAACACTCGTTCTCTTGGGAACGCTGCTCCCCTGTTTCAAGAAAAAAGACCCAGAGGCAAGGTTTATTTAGACTTAGCAAAGTCTTGGTCCAGAACCTTATTGACTTGGTACGACCTCATCTACACAATTACCCACAGATTCTTTATTTTCTGTAAGCTGTTCCAGAGTTTCCTTTGAATGACTTTGCCGTTGGGCCCTGCAAATTGACCTCTAGCAAATAGAGAATGTTTATCCATAAAAGATAATAAAACCTGCCAATGGCCATCATTAATTTTAAGACATTTTTTTCCAGCGATTTTTCTGTTCAAAGTTCAAAATACTACAAAATGTCAAAACAAAACAAAGAATCAAACAAATAGTCAACCATCCAAGGACCTTTTTTTTCAGTTATACATGTAAACCCCATACTTTGTGAGTGGCTTGCTTACATCAAGTCCTACAACTTTTCCTCTACAACTTTTCTCGGAAATGGCACGTATGCGCGCAGGCGACTCGCTAACATGTCGATCTGACGTAGCTATGTTTCCTGATACACGTAGGTAAATCTAATTTTACGAATACTGTTCGATTTTTATGTCTAAATCACGGAAATCAACTTGGCCGACAAAAATAATGGCAAATTGGGGGAGTCCGATACCCCTAAAATGTTTGCGAGTCGCCTGCGCGCATACGTGCCATTTCCGAGAAAAGTCGTAGAGGAAAAGTTGTAGGACTTGATGTAAGCAAGCCACTCACAAAGTATGGGGTTTACATGTATAACTGAAAAAAAAGGTCCTTGGATGGTTGACTAAAATTTTGGCCCCCAAAAATCCAACATAACTTAACTTTATTGGACTCGATTTCGTTTCGATAGCTTTTCGACAGACATCAACCAGTCGAGTGACTTTCGTCGAAATGCATTAGGCATTCCAGGTCACGTGACTTTGACAGGTCCGCTGGGGGGCAAACAAAGCCTAGATCAGTATTTACACCGTTCTTTCAGATTGTGTTTCCGAATTTTTGCGTTCTTAAATTCTTTCAATAAGTTTTAAGTTGTTTTTGTGGTAGAATGGCTAACATTGACTATTATTCATCGTTAGCTAGTGATGTGAAATGTCGGTATGACCAAAAAATACAAATAATTGCCAATATAGATCCTTATAAACTTCTACCTAATGAGTTTACTTTAAGTATCAATGAGTTGCCAGAGGTTTCAATTTTGGATTTATCCGAATATTTGACCCACACCCACAGTTACTACAGAGGCTTGCAGTTGAAGGCGTATAAAGGGTTATTCAAGTTCTGCTGGACTACCTAAAAGGTATTAAAAGTAAATATTATTTGTAGAAACAAACCAATTTTTCGATATAAATGTGTTTTTGTATTTTAACAACAAGACAGTCATAATACTTACCATTAACAAAATGTTTTGAACAAATACGAGCATTTTTCAGAAACGTTTCAGTTAAATCTCTCCTTTTGAGGCATTTAATCCACAGATTTCGTCGTTCCTTTTTTAGCTCGTTTAGACGATTCCCTAGATCTCTTAATGCTGCTGGGATCCTGAAAAACCTTTCTTTATCTCTTTCCGCTCTACTAGAGCACCCAACTAACGCAGCAAAAAGAAGGCATCTTCACAAAATAGATTGAAAATTCTTGGTTTAACATTGAATCAGGTTATGTTTGGCTTTTGTGTGCCCCCCAAACTAATATGGCGGATCGGTTATGACATTAACCTGGAATGCCTAATTCGCATGGAGTGCGTTCGAAATCAAAATTTTGGTGTAACATGGCGGTTTCGGTTCGAATCGAGAGTTCGTAATCCGCCCCCAGGCGGTCAATTCTCCAATTTCGATTGGGAATGTCGAATTCGACAAGTGTCGCGTAGGTCATGTCGAACGATTATTCAAAATTCTCGAAAGGCATACGTATCTTTTTCACGCATTCGATATAATGTCGAAGGGCAGGAATTGGCAGCGTCGCAATTTGGCGACTTTGTGAGGTTATGTTTGTTTTGTTGTTTGTTTTTTTTTTGAAATAAAATAATTCGGCATAATAAACAAATACTACATAGAAGATAATTATTATTAGCTGGTAAGCTAAGTTTTATAGTTTTTAGAAAAAATATGAATAAAATAAGGGGACGGTACATAATATTAACTTTTTAGGAAATCATGACCGATACAAAACACCAATTAGGCAATCCAATGATCTGTCCAAATGGCGTCTGGTTGGCAAATAATAAACAAAAAACATATGTTTTTATTTTGACGGGATTAAGCCTAGTACTCATAACCGCGAAATTCGCTCTTTTTTGACGTTTGATTCACACATAAAACGTCAAATTGTCGAAGCACCGGCCATGTCAAAAAACAGCGAATTTCGCTGTTATTACAGTGGCTAAATAAACCTTTACATACAGTGGCGACAATAGAGTCCCCGCCGCCATTTTGTTCCCAACCTCTTGTTAGTTTTAAATATAAGTTTATAGGATTCAAATGGACATCTTTCATAAAAAATTGAAATCGACATATTTGATGACTATTATCAGGTCCATCAAAAACGTTGTTTTCCATGTCTTATGATGGATGATCACCTTAATCCCATATATTCATATTTGAAATAAACAATAGGTGGGAACAAGATGGCGGCGTTTTCAATATAAATATATGGGATTTTAGAACCAATCAAAAATGAGACAGCAATTGTCGCCACTGTGGGTAATAGAGTCACTGTAGCTGTTATGAGTACTAGGCTTTATCAATACCAATGAACTATAACCAAAAACTGGAATGCTAACACATAAGGAAGAACGTGAGGCCTAGTGCAGCTGCTGCGGAGGGGATACCTGTTTTTGTCGCACTCATTATGTTAAATGGCGAAAATTGCTTCCGACACGTATTCCAATTGATGGAACCTGTGAAGGAAAATATGACAAAACTACCGAAAACGTCATATGTCAGCGAGCAACAGAAAAAAACAACATTCCCCCTTGTGGCATCTGTCTTTCATGGCTTCATTTTTTGGGCAGATATGGCAATGTGCGCGCATTCCAGTTTTTGGCTATAGTTCATTGATCAATACTGACATCGTTGACATGAAAAAACCCATATTCTAACCTCATAAAAATTTCAAAATGCCGGCTGGTTGGCAAAAGTCACGTGGTTTGGATTCCTTAAAGCAGGACGCGCACTAAATCGACTCGGACCGGTCGACTCGGCATTCGGTAGTTTTTGATAATCATGCAATTAAATGAGACTCCGCGCACGGCATCGGACTCGTCGACTCGACGTGGTCGACTCGAGTCTCATTTAATTGCATGAGTATCAAAAACTACCGAATGCCGAGTCGACCGGTCCGAGTCGATTCAGTGCGCGTCCTGCTTAATATTGTAGTCAGCAACAAAAAGACGAGCTAGTGAACTTGGTGACCAAAGATCGTGATCTTGTGTGTGGAAAATTTTCAAACAAATTCACAAACAAAGATGCAGAGAAAAAGTGGATAGCTATAACATCAAAATTAAATTCTATTCCAGGGGGTCAGAAAGACTGGAAGCAGTGGCGAAAGGTAGGTATATATTTCTCATTTATTCAAAGAGTAGTTTGTACTATTTCTAAATGCTTGCTTTTCAGACATGGCAAGACATAAAAAGTCGTACAAAAACAAAAAAAGCATCTATAAATAGATATGAAAGGGGAACAGGTGGAGGCCCTCCAATTCAAAACATTACTCCAGTTGAGGAGAAAGTTATTTCAGTAATAAGCAAAACAGCAATCTTAGGAGAAACCTGTATCAATGAATCTCAAATAGAATTTGATTTTGATGATGACATGGAAGCCCCAGTGGAAACCCTACCAATAGACGATGCCATTGTATTGGAAGTCAATTTAGACGATTCAATTGAATTGGAAGAAAAAGTAATGTTTTTGTTTTTAATGACTGTCCTGTCGTAATTGAAACAAAACAGACAATAGGTCCTTCATAAACATGAATTTGTTGGATTTTTACAACAAGAACTAGTTCTGTTAAAAACTTGGTTCTATTTTCAATGTTATGACATTGGTTAGTTGTGCAATTTCAGTATCAAAACATTGTTTTATATTCAAATTAGTTACTTTATATGCTTGATTAGATGATAAACAAAATTAATACAATACTATTTTTCTCTTACAGCCGAATGAGGAAGTTCCACTGGAAAAGCAAGTAACAAAATTGGGGACTCCAAGGAAGCACCCTACGAAAACAATTAAAAGAACAGCAGCTGCCTCACAGTTAATGACATCAGCTAAAGCAACAACATCATTAGCAAACATATCAGAAGAAAGGCTTGCCTTTGAAAAAGAAAAATTTCAATTTAAAAAGCAGAAGTTCGATTTTATGAAATCCTACAGAGAAAGAAAATTGGTTCTTTTAGAGAGACAAGCCGAAGCTCTTGAAGCTTTAGCTAATAAAAGCTTGTTTGAAACTGTTTAATTATCTACTTAATATTTTGCAGACAAGTATTTATACGTGGTAATTTATTGTTTAGTGGAATAAAAAATATTTTGGTTTTTTAATTGCATTTATTATTTTATTAGATATATTAGGTATGATTATTTTCATTATTTATTGATAAATATTAATTATGCGTCTTTGCATTTGTCTTCCTGCTTGGAGATCTAGATTATTAGCATTAATTTCTGCAACATTATCAAAGTTATTGTTGAATAAACCATAGTCTTCAATATTATCATAATTATTTTCATCTAAAACAGGGTTGCCAGACGTCCCACCTTAGGAGGGACAGTCCCGCATTTTGTTAATCGGTCCTGCCTTTTTTTAATTAATTTCAGGTCCCGCTTTTCACGTGAATTGTCCCGGTTTTCCCGCTTTTTTCACACATTTAGTGCAAAAAACGCTTGTTACATAAATAGCAATTTCTACATTTAAAATCGACGCAAAAATCACCTAACGAGCCTGAATCGCAAACATTTCGTCGAGGTCTGCGGATGACGTCACCAATATTAGCTCCTGACATAGTGACGTCACTCGCAGACCTTGTTGACTCGAGAACCGGCGAATGAATGCCTTCTCAGGATGAGCAATCCTGTTAGTTTACGATTCTTGGGTTTTATTTATAAATATTGTATGTTGTGTAGGTATAAAAATGTCAAAAATTCCAACAAAATCCAAATCTCATTGCACATATAAACTAGCATCTGCAAAAAACTTTTTTTCTGGCCACTGAAAAATAGACAACTTTCGTCAAAAATAATTTTTTCTATGACCGTTAGAAAATAAACAACTTTCGTCATATTTCACCTTAGCCGAAAACTTCACTTTCGTCACTAGTGATAAAATATCTCGTGACGAAAGTGAATGATTAGGATTTTACATGTTCAAAACATTCTTTCAAATCCAATTATAATTTGATTTTGTGAAGCACAACGAAAGAACATAGTTTATCACAAAATTATTTAAATTGTGCTTTATATAATGTAATAAAAGCAGAACATACAGAGTGGCAAAAAAGTAGTGCAGTAATACAACCTTTAGCTTTTTAGGACCTTTTTTCATACAAAAAGTTACCGGTATTATGCGCTACTTTTTTGCCACTCTATATAGCGTATAAATAATGATGTTTACCGTTGTTTTGTCGTGAAGCGTTTATTCTGTTATCTAATAAAGGAGATTTTTTTTTTGGTCCAATTTTGTTTGAATTCTTAGCAAAATTTGGGCGTGGTTCCAAAAAATTTGTTGCGCTTTTGCTCAAGGGGATCCATACTCCATAGGGGGGGACACATTGGGCACTACAGCCCCTCCCCCCCCTTATGCTTTTGGGTGTGACACCCGAAAAAAATGTTCTCCCTCCGGGTAAGAACAGTCCCGCTTTTTCATTTCATAGATCTGGCAACCCTGATCTAAAGGTATATTAGCTTCAATACACATGTTATGCAATACCACACATGCATTGATAATTTTCGAGCACATAGTAGGGTGGTAATGTAAAAATCGATGTTTAAGTAGACATCTAAATCTCATTTTAAAGACTCCATTACATCGCTCAATTGATGACCTTATAGTTTTGTGCCTTTCATTATACATTTCTTCTGGTCCACCTTGTGTATTAGCTAATGGCGTTAAGAGCCAAGGTCTGAGAGAATATCCAGAATCTCCTAAAAAATTAGGGAATTTTATTGGCATAAAAAATATTGTGAATACTGAATGATAACTTTTTAATAATAGATGAAATTCATTTATCTATTTATGAGGGAAGTAGCAGTTAATTTAAAGATAAATTTGTTTCCAGTTTACATACCGAGTAAAAAAAATCCAATATGACCTCTATTATAAATATTCCGCAAAACAGGTTCAATATTGCTGTTACTCCAAATATGAGCATCATTGGTGCTCCCAGGAAAACGGGCATTCACATGTAATATCTTAAGTGAAGTATCGCATATCTAAAATATATTGAGTTAGTTGAGTAGGCACAATAAACTTATAAATAAACTTTGATTAAAAGTATTAGTAAAATGAAAATTTAAGTATTTCATTTTATATGTGGATATTGTTTAAAAAAAATCAAACTTTACTAGGTGTGTATTGATTGAGTGATAGTTTTTCCGATTTAAATAAATATATTCTGGACGATTTTCATCATTCTGTTGTGGTGGCACAATAGCAATGTGTGTGCAATCTACACAGCCTATAATTCCTGGCATCCTGAATTTTTCATAAAACCTATAAAGTGTAAGAACCGATTAGGACTCAAGATTTGAAGTTTTTTTTGCTTAGTTGTTCCACAAATTAATAATGTGATTCATGACAAAAACGTTATTACTGTTGCCGAAGTTCCTGGAGCTCTTGTAAATTATTTGGAAACTTAACAAATTGGTTAAACAACTCAGGCTGATTGAGAGCTTCAACTACCTCATGAAATACATCTGCTAACAGAGGATTGGGACACAGATATATACTCATTTGAGCCAACGGGCAATTGATAACATCCAGTTGCGAGAAAGTTTAACGTAATAAGTACCTACAAAATAATTGTAATATAAATTATGTTGTTTGTATTAATTACAATATTCAAATGTACTTTAGTTTCCACTGATAGAGCAGATGCTCTCGTTCTCTCTCCTACATAGGGCCGAACTAAATTAATCAAGTATCTAGCCAAATCCTTGCTCAGACGGAAATTTCTGATGAAATGTTGGTCTGTCATATCAAACCCGTTTCTGTATTGATATGTTTTACGCAAAAATCTAACATTTTCTTCATGAATTTCTTCATTTTCAATTGCTGCGAGTAACTCTAACCAAAGAATATTATAGACTAACGTCTCTAGAAGTCTCGTCCGAATTCTTATTTTTGATACCTCGATGGACGCCGGCTTTTGCCGGTGTGGACGCCGGCTCGAGCCTATTGCCCACTGTTGCCGAGTTGTCAGTGCTGTTGATTCGGCGTCCAGCCAGCGAGTCAGCGTCCGTATCCGCTTCTCTGAATGAAGTTATTAGAGTGAAATATTTGCTTTGCATGCATAGGGAGACAGACATGTGTGCCAAGAGGAATTAGGAAGTTAAACATTTATATTTTCTAACATATTTTATAATTTACCAACGAATATCATAGATGGATGCAATTCTATCATTTTCTTTAGGTTTTTTTATATATATTTGGCGAATTTGCCACTTAGAAATTTATGTTTAATTTCGAAATATGAATTATTTATTTTTTTTCCAGTAGATCGGTTTATTTACCAACAAGTAAATTTTGGGATTGGTCAATAAGTTTCCGCCCGTATTAATCAAATTTCAAAAATAAATAACCCATAATAATTTTGGACACTATGACTAAAATATTGCACACCCACACAACACAACGAAAACCAGAGCAGTTCTGAAGTGAAAACTTCTTTAGAATAAATAGTTGGAAGTGATTTGAAACTCGATGAAACGAAAAAGCGACCCGATGAAACAAAACGAAATAGCAACACTTTTTTAACACGCTTATATTAACACACAACACACAACAAGAACCTGGAACAAGCCAAGTGAGCTGGAACAATTCTGGATAAATCTGGATGAAGTCTGGAAAAGTCTGAAAATCTCTGGAAACGTCTGGAAAGAGCCTGGAAATTTCTAGAAAGGATCGGAAAAATTCTGCCAAAGGTTCCAAAAGACCTGGGGATCATTTTCCAGAATCCGGATCAGTCTGTACAAGTCTGGATAAGATCTGGATAAATCTGGATAAAGTCTGTGAAACTCTGGATAAGTCTGGTTATTGTCTGGAAATCTCTGGAAACGTCTGGAAAAAACTTGGAAATTTCTGGAAAGGGTTGGAAAAATTCTGAAAAAAGTGTTGAAATATGTATCCGAAAGGATAATATAATATACAAAAACAAATCTACCTTACCAGGAATCGACCTGAGAATTGACAAAGAGCAATAAACCCAAAAGGTTGGTATTTATTGCCTTATTTATTTATTGTACTTGGGTATTACTTTTTGCGTTGTAAATGTATTTTTCCCACACCCCGAAAAGGTTTAGGGTGTGAAGATGAAATATAAAAGCTAAAGTTAAGTTAGTCGTTCTGTTATGTTTTAAGACGAAACATTGAAATATATTATCGTGCCTTAAAACGTATCTATCGTGTTTTAATTAAACCACTGATAACCTGAAATATTTAATAGGTTATGGTCCCCAGTTTCGCGTAACACTAATATTGTTACTCAGTGGTGAATAAACGCAATTAATAGACTTTCGAAAACATGGAAAATCGCGGCGCGAGCAAAAGAAACATCCAACCTTTTAATGGTGACCGGTACGGTGTTTGGAAGTTTCGAGTAAAATCATTGCTAACGGAATTAAACATTATCCAGGTGGTTGACAGTGAAATTCCCAGTGATCGTAGTGATGAGTGGCTCAAAAACAATAACATTGCAAAAAGTGTGATCATTGATAACTTGAGCGACTCATTTTTGGGTTTCGCTAAAGGACCAACTACAGCGAGAGAGGTATTTCAGAAGTTAGATGAAATATATGAGCGGAAGAGTTTGGCCTCACAGTTGGCATTAAGAAAGAGACTTCTGACTTTGAAACTACACGGAGATATTAGTTTGTTACAGCATTTCACAAACTTCGATAGTAGATAAGCAACAGGGATTCAAGGACCAAAATCCGAACATAACCTCAATCTTTCATTCTTGACACGTGGTGGATGCGCCGCCGTTGACACGAAGGTGGATGCATCGTCGGCGCCATCTTGTCAAACGTCATGGCGCCATCTAGCGTACATAGTGTGAAGTTCGTAATACAGGATGCTGTAGTTGGGACCCGCAGGGCTGCGCCCCCCCAAAAAGGGGGCCCGCAGGGCTCCGCCCCCCAAAAAGGGGCCCCGGATTTTAATACGGGTACCAGAAAAAGGGGTGGGGGGGAAATGTTTTCCCGCCATCTTGTCAAACGTCATCTGTCAAACGTCACCTGTCAAACGTCATCTGTCAACCGTCATCTGTCAAACGTCATGACGTCATAGCGGGAGTTTTGAGTCGTTCCGGGTTCTGTGATGACGTCATAGCGACCTGGGTCACGTTCGTGGCGCCATTTAGAGTACATAGTGCGAAGTTCGTTTCATGGTTCTGTGATGACGTCATAGCGACCTGGGTCACGTGGGTTACGTCAGTGCGGGTCCGTGGCGC